ACACAACTAGTATATATATATATATATATATATATATATATATATATATATTTTAACTTTAAATAAAAAATAAATAAAATTAATTTCATATTCAGGGATATACTGAGAATTATCAGAATGTTGAGAGTTAATCCAAAAATTTTGCTGGTTTGGATCCATTGAGGAAAACTTGAAAAAAATTTCAAGAAAATGAGAGTATTGAAATGAAGAGAAAGATTGATGTGTTGAAAATATGTCAAGATTGGTCTCTATTTGTAGGGAATTGAAAAATATGAATTTTGATATATTTTTTGATTTTTGATATTTTTATTAAAATTATCTTTTTAACGAGATAAATTTTATCCTAAAAAAATTTATAAAACAACCAATTAATAGATGTCACCTCATCCTAAAACCTATCCAAAAATCTATTTAATAATAAAATAATGTTGTGAACTTTGTTTGGGTGTGCAAACAGTTTGCACAAACACAACCACTTCCAAATTTTTTTTTCTTTTTTTTAATTAACAGATTTTTGTCTTATTCATTTTTAGGTTGGTTTGGTTTGTGAATGAAGGTAGTCTAATCCAATATCAACACAATACCTAACAATTTTACATCTCGATTAAATATCGGATTTCCTCGAGTCAGAGTTAGGTTATTTCGCATTGGGTTGGGTTGGTTTGACGGAGTCGGTGTTTTGAACACCCTCGTTTGAGTAAGGTCGTTTGAGTAAGGGGTTGGATAAGACACGAGTATGTTGGAAAGAAATAAAGATCCCAAAGTCAGAACACCAGTGGAGTGGATGCCGGTGATCGTCAACGGAGAGCATCGTAATGGAAGTGTTTTATGGAAATTGGTAAAAGCTTAGGGAGGTTTGATTTGGTTGTAAAATGGAACATTACAAGTCTAGAAACAGCGATTTCTTCCACTTCACAAACCCTCATGATGATGTTAGTGAGTTAGATGACGAGGATTACGATGAACTGCAATACTACGATGTTGATGTTGATGATGATGATGATGTTGATGATCGTAGCTGCAATTTCAGTTTCCATACTTTTAGTTCCCTCGGGGTTACTCCAGCTCCGCTCCCTAATTTCCAGGTACAATTTCCCTAGCTTGCTGCTTCTATTCGTTTTTCTATTTTGTTCTTGATTGTTTTAAATGGTTGAGGAAGCAGATTACTTATGAATCTCATGAACCCTAAGTTGAACTGCTTATGCAACTATATTCTGATTACAGTTGTTTATGAACCCTATATTATATTTGACAGTACAATCCGTAAACGTAATAGAATATGTTGGTTTGTTCTACAGACTAATGGTTTGATGAATCAGAATGATACCGTGACCACTTCGTCTATGGAGGAACTTGGGACCTTTGACAATGGGGCCTTGATTTTTCAGTTGGACAATATAATGAAGAATCTTTCTGATAACCTTCAGCATAGAATTGAAGGCATTGACACACAAATCTCTCGACTCGAGGATGAAACTTGCAAGATCCATAAGTATGTAGAAGATGTGAAGGACTCAACTGAACGGTATCATGGGACGACCCACCGGAAGCTCAGGCAGATGCATAGTATTTTACAAGAGGTTCCAATCTATACTATATAATCGGGCTTTATTTTAATTTTGCTTTTGTGGTTGTACATAATTTCCAACGTAAGGAGTTAGAAAGAACGTGACAAATCACATAGAACAGAGACCCCATATTGTGACATCTTAATACAAGTATTCCGCTGCTTAGAAACAGTTTCATTTCCAAAATTTGTGGCAAAGCTAGTAAATGTTATTGTCATAAGGAGCCTCAACCAACTGTGAAGCCTTGGCATCTAGATTGTTTGAGAGTATGCAAGTCAGTCCAAATTGCTCACTGAGTGACAGATGGGAAGGAGTAGGACACATAGGAAAGTTAAAATAGAGGTTTATTTTGGTAGAGGGAGTTTAGTGAATGCTTCTTTGATTGATTCTATTACAATTGTGGGTGCTTACCTTTAATATAATCTTTACCTCCTTGAGAGAATTTGACACAATGACATTTTAGAAATATGAACATTCTAGGTACAAGAAGTTCCTGGCTTCTACTACAAAATATCTAAGACTCCTAATATGTAGATGATTCTAGAGGATGTTAATAGATACTAGAGTGTCCTAGATTGTTAAGAAAAGTCAACGACTTTAGAAAATTCTTGAACATGCCACTTCTTATCGAAATCGCTATGAATATGTAGAAAACACAAAATTTCTATAAATTAAAGTAGTAGGGTTACATATTTATATAACAATTATTGAAAATTAAATTTAAAACACAAATTATATGCCTATGCATGAATTCATATACATGTAAGTAAGCATATAAAGACAACTTTCATATGCATAAAATCAGCAGCCATATATAATTACAAACTATCCCAAATAACAACATATAGATATTCCAAATTGAAAAGTTACAAGACCAGTATCTAGAATCAACTACTGAAACAAAAGTAACTATAAATATTGAAAGATATAAACAACCAATTTTATAATCTTATATCTAAACTATACTACAAGAACAAAAAGTGTGGCAGTCTGGCAAACGCCAACCAGGTGTATCTTTGGGTGCTTGAGTGACACAACCTCACCAGCCTAGATGACCACTGAGATTGTGCACCCCTATTCCTTATCATATCAGTTATCCAAGTTAGGATATTCCCCCTCTGCATGGTCTGGTGTCTGAGGGTATTGCAATCTGTAAAGAATAAGAAATGGATCAGGGGATTTTGAGAACTTTATTCTTTTCTACACTATACTGATGTATTGATGCTGCTGGATCCGAGCTAAATAACCAACTTCTTAACTACTTTACTGACTAACCATGCCTCCACTATTACTTGTTAAATAACAACGGGTATGAAAAATCTAATAAAATGCCCCCTCAAGATGGACTCGCAAAGATATCTTGAAGAACCATCTTGGACATAAGAGTTAGTAACTTGGAGTTCAGCAACAACTTAGCAAGAATGTCAGCAAGTTTAAATTGATTGCGTATTGGTATCAGCTTAATAGTGCGATCAAGAACCTTATCACAAATAAAGTGGCAGTCAATTTCAATGTGTTTGGTACATCAATGGACGGGTTAGATGTTAATTGAATGGCCGAACTATTGTCATAGAACACCAAGGTAGGAGCATGAATAATAACCCAAATCCCATAAGAGCTGTTGCAGCCAAATGAGCTCACAAGTGACAACCACTATGTCTCGATACTCCACCTCTGTGGAAGATTGAGAAAAAATTGATTGTTTCTTAGACTTCCAAGAAATCAAAGAATCTCCAAAGAAAACGTAAAACCTAGTAATAGATATTACTTGCAAGTTGCGAGTGACTGGACATCCAGCCCAATCAAAGTCACTAAACTTCTTCAATAGAGACTCAGTGGAAGAAGCATCCATGCCTTGGACTGAATCAATCCATCTAGACGGTTATCAATGTTGTCTTTGCCTTTCTTCCGTATAGCAAGAGAGAAAATCCTATTTACAGATGAAAGTGGATCCGTAAAGAGGATTTTTCAATTACGAGGACCATTGCTTTGTTGAAATTGTTCTCCAAGTTGCTTCCAGATCTAGCATGCTGACTCAGAAAATATAACACTGGCCGATATTTCCCTGGATATTAAATTCAGAATCCAAGAAATCACAATATTGTTGTTTCTAATCCACGACTTGAGTTGTGTTGGTTCTGAAACATTTGGTTTCGGCTGTGCTCCATCAATATTGTTTTGTTCTTAATAAACAACACAAGTTCCATCGACATACTCCAGGAGGCATAATTGTCTCCTGTGAGCGTCCTCGAGACCAGGATTATCATAATGATCAGTGATCAAATCAAGGAACTGTGTCAATTAGCCGAGGAACGATTAAAGTTGGCTGATTAAGAACACCAAGTCCGAAGAAGATTAGATAAGAACATGGTGAGTGAAAGTATGCTCTGATACCATATTGCAATCTGAAAAGAATCAGATAATGATGAAAATGGAACAGGGGATTTTCAGAATAAGCTTTCTTCATATATTATTTTCTACACTACACTGAGGTATTTATACTGTTGGGTCCTAACCAACCATAGCTAACTTCTTAACTACTCTACTGACTAACCGCACCTCCACTATTACTTGTTAAATAACAACTGATACAACAAATCTAATAGAGGGTCCTTCCTCTACTCATTGAGGACACCCGCAATAGAACCCAAAAAGAGATCCTTTACAGTGATTGAAGCATAGCTCTGCTATTAAGTACCTATAATTCTCTTGAGAATGAAATAGCTGGGCTGAAAGAATTGAGCAAACAAGGGATTTTATTATTAAGCTTAGGTTGAAAATGCAACTCTTTCTATCATAATGAAGTGCTTAGGAACTTGAATTGGTATGGTTGAATTACATATGTGAATAATTTGTCAGGTGCAAGATGGTGTTCTGTTCTTGAGAGACAAACACGAAATAGCAGAAACGCGGCTTCAGCTTGCTAAACTTCAAGGTTCAAAGGTCAAAAGATCACAGCAATGGGTTTCAGGAGGGACCTTGTGAGAGAAAATGTAAGAAAACTGACAGAAAATGGTTCTTCAGTGGATCTTAATACAGTGCTTGGTAGGATGATGAACCACAAATGAAATGATCTGACCTATTTCTTTGTTGAGGGTTATATACTTGAAATAAAAACCTATGATGTACAGAAATCGCAATAGTGAAAAGGCACATAATTCTGGCTACACAACCAACAAATTGAAGTTCCTAGAAACTCAATTCCGGGATTGCAAAGGGTAACACTAAGGTATTCTGGTACGCTGGTCTTTTAGCTCCCTACATATGTTTCGTACTTTCCATGTTGTTTGTACTATTACAAATGATCTGTGATTGATATATGTTTGTGTAAATCATGTTATAGATTGCCACCATTTGTTAAAACATGTAATTGATATATGTTTGTGTAAATCATGTTATAGCTTGCCACCATTTGTTAAAACATGTAATTTGCATAACGGCCCTGTGACTGTACATATGGTTCTATCAATGGATGAAAATTAGCAATAAACAATCCAGCGTCACCCATTCCAGAATGAAGATTAGAATAACCTAATTTCACATCCATATCTCCATTTCTTCACACAATATTCTGAAAATTTTCTGCATTGGGTTGATTCTTTGAATGATTTCTTGATGAATCGATGCTACAAAGTGTTAGTTCATTTGACCGTTCATTGTTGTTACTTGTTTAAATTACATTTACTCTTGTATGTTTCGATTAAATATGTGATTTCAAATGTTTATGCTGGACTTGGAGACTTTATTTGTTCATAGTCAAATTCATTTTCAACATATTCGATTTGGATTAGTACTTTTCAGATATCAAAGGATTGCAGATTCAGATGTGAACGTGTTGGATCAACTATAGGTATATACAAATGCATCTATTTATGTGCATATGTGGCTGTTCATCAACTTGTTACTATCCATATGCTCCACTTTATTGTTTTATTTAACATTTTCAGTTTATTGGTGATGTAAAGATGAACCCTACATATGATTTTGTGTGGTATGTTTAATCTGATGATAGATTTGGCAAAATAAAAGAACTAAATCGAAGGGAAGATGGGCATAAGGAAATGGGACATTGTCCGAAATAGCCATCTTTGACTCTCCAATTCACTTTATAGCTGTTTTTCTACATAATTGACTGAAACGGTCAGGAATTTACAAGTAGCACTTTAGCAACTTGTTATATTAGTATTTCTCAAGTAGCACTTTAGCAACTTGTTATATTAGTATTTCTCAAGTAGCACTTTAGCAACTTGTTATATTAGTATTTCTCAAGTAGCACCTTAGCAAAACACTTGGGGGTGTGACATGGATTGGGAGTTGGGAAGGGGTATTTTGGAGATTGGGAGTTGGGAAGGGGTATTTTGGATAACTATTGTAAAGAAATGTAAGGTAAAAGGTGAAGAAAGTTGGAATAGTTGGCATAATAATGTAATATGTGCATGAAGCTACTTTAAGAGCATGTGGAGTGGCTACTGCTTTTTACTTATTATAGGGTTTAGATGGTTGAGACCTATTTCAAGAATCTGGGGAAAAGCCAAAGGGAATCTAATCTTGAAAAGTGATAATAGATTGTGTAGCCTTGCAATCTTTCTTCTTTTCCAATGGTCACTTTCTGGTATCTCATGCATTCCAGCTGAGCTGCTGTACTCCCATCAATTTCTACTGCAACTTGCTTCCTATTTGACTTCTTTTATTTTCTTCGTTAAATCACATCATTCAATATATAAAAAAGTTAAATTTGATCTTAATAAACCACTAAGGGTTAGTGTTGATTGGTTTGAGCTTGATTCCAAAGGTCAAAAATACCAGGAGATGTCAGGTTCAAATCCAAGTAGGAATAAAAATCCTCTTGTGGCCACGGAGGTTCAAATGCGGTGACTCCGGGCTATCTGCAAAGCATGTGGTCGTCCTGGGATTAGCCAGCTCGCATAACGGGTTAGATATCCAGGTTAATAAAAAAAAAATGATCTTAATATGTATGGGATGTAATTTATAGAAAAGGGATTCAAGGAATATGTTCAGAATCATCCTTGATGTCTTGTCAACATGAGATATCGTTTTTAGCGTTATATGAACCAGTTTTTGGTTAAATCATACATTGAAAATGTAAAAGAGTTTCATTTTGACGTGTAAAAGGATGAAATTGGTGAGATGTTCATTTCGTATCACCCTTAAAAACATGGTATACGACGGTGAGATTGCTTGTTTGTGCTGATCATGAGTGTTTGTTCTATTATCAGTGCTACCATTTGAACGGAAGAAGCATATATAAAATGGAAAATTTTCAACGAATGAACGGTTCTTGTATCCTATTTGCACACACCATGAAGCACCGAAAACAATCCGTTACAACGAATCAGAAATATAAATGTATAATTGTATATCTTGCTACTTCGTATTTTATCTTATAATCAAAATGACAGAACTCGTACATCACCAAATAGGGACAAACAAGAAAATCGAAAACATACCAAAACCAAACGCTTGAAAAACATCTTACACGAGGAGCTCAAACCCATTTATTGACGATCTTTTTTCAATTCTTCAACACAACTAGAAACGTGACGTTTTTTCTGGTAAAAAAAACGTAACAGATGTAACAGGTCGAAAGACAATAAGCATATAATATATATAAAACATGCTACGTGTCATATGCCCATTAGAGGGAGCTTGTGAATGGACAAGAGGGGAACTTGTGAGAGAATAAATTGGGTCTCATGAGAAGGACCATACCCTTGAGTGTCATTGCCATAAAATTTATTTCTCATTTGGACCACTTTTTAGCCTTGGAAAATGACCACACCGGTTTGTTCCAATCCACATTAAAATTTCGTTTTTAAAAAAAAAAAATTTTAAATATTAAATAAATATTTTAATACCATACTTGTTTAAAACATTTAGTTTTGATAAAAAAGGAAATCAGTAATAAATAAAGAGAAGATAAATAGAATGAACTGACTCTATAACTTCAATTAAATTAGTTTCAAGACCATAATATCAAGTTTTTTTCAAAAGGCAGATAAGTCTATGGATTAGAACTGTATTTAATTATCTGTTGTTGTAGACTTGTTGTGGTCCTCTTTAGATAAATGAATTGACAAAAATGGAACGAAGAAGATTATAAATATATTTAAGATATCGTCATATCTTATCATACACATATTAAAAATAAAATCATCAAAAATAAAAATAAAAGAAATAATATCCAGTCTTTTTGTTTATAGTTTATCTGTATTCAATGATGATTAAAATACGATTATTAGTATTTAATTTGTTTTTTTTATTAACTAATTTTAATGGTTGTTATCAAATGATAAATTTAATTATCTATATTATATTATAAAAACTATTTTTGTACATAAAATATTGTTTATTAATGCATGTTACTTAAAACTCGAGATTACAAGTAGATTGTGTGTAAGTACAACTTATTAAAGCTCCATATATGAATTCGTGTAACTAACTGCAGATAAACATAATCAAATACATGATAAACATATCATTTTATATATAAAAAATCTAAAATATAATTAGGATAATCATTAAGTTCTAACAGAATACTTAATTATAATATTTATAAAATGTTATATTATTAAAATTAAATTAAATTATAATAAATAAATTAATTAAAGAAATTACATAAAAAATGAAAACTTTTAAATAGTTAATTTAATATTAACATTGATATTTTTTTTTTTTCAAATTTTTATGATATYTTCAAATTTATATTTTATTAAAAAATAAAATCATTATTGCTTTCTTAAAAACACATCATAAAATCGTATTATAACATCGACAAAGACAAAGAATAAAATAGAACATGTAAATCGAGATGTGACTCGCTGCATTGCACGAGTACTCTTCTAATATATTTAAAAACGTTATTTATATCTATAAATTCAAAAAAATAAATTAAATAATTTTGATGACTTTATATTGAACGTGTATAAATTTAAATCATAAAAATATTTTCCTTGAATTAATCGATTTTCACATTTTTGAGAAAACCGAAAATCTAATGGAAAGATTTGAAATTAAATGGGTCGGGCCGTAAAAGATGGACCCATTGAGCTCGGCTTTGATTTGGTGGACCCCCAAACATGATCGAAGGCTTAGGTTTAGGGCTCATGTTCCCCACACTCGTCCCTTTCATATTTCCTTTTGTTACCATACATACATTCCCTTCCACTTTTTAATTAAAAATTATGTTTTTTTTAATATTATTGTATATTTTGTAAGAATAAACGGTTTTTTGTACGTACGGTGTGCAGAAAAAAAATGACTGATAACTGTTACTGAAGAAGTTATATCAGTTAACGATGTATATATCAAGAAGTCTCTTAACCGAAAGACAACCATCTGGTTCCATCACATCTTGGGGTACAAGTCGACATAAGAATGAGATATTTCCGCCTACTAAACGTTGCAGACGCCTTTTCTAATCGTGGGTGTCTAGATTATAGATTGTACATACCTTGACTTATCACGTGGACCCTGATATTAACAGTTATGAAAACACTCGAACTGACGACCTATTTGGTAAAAGCAATCGTGTTTAGGCATCCTCGATTAGTGTGACGTACATAACTGATAAAAGGTAAAAGATAGCATTGAAGTTTCAAATTTGGTATGATTTCATATGGCTTAAAATAGAAAAAATCAATTAAATAAAAGTAGAATCATTGTTTTGGCTACTAAATTTGGGCATTTCCATATTATGTAAACAAACCAGATTTAAATAATGTGTTTAGATGTTACCTAATCAACTATAAATGTACATCATTGAGTTACAAGGCTTTGAATGATTGATTTTTTTTAAGCCATCATTTTTCTAGAAATGTCCAACTGGTTTTTTTGGCAATTTCTAATTTCAAGTATTATATATTATACTAAAAATTACATTCATATATATATATATATATATATATATATATATATATATATATATATATATATAGGGGCCTATTCAAGGGAGAACTGAGTTGTTTGTGGTAACTGTAAGAACCAATATTAACCACAAATCAATAGATAAATTAGGAAATTTATAAATTTGGTAATTTTAAATTAAAATCTTAATGCAAAGATATTTTTGGTATTTTAAAACTCTCCTCTCTCCTCTCTTCTCTCTTTGGCTACCGTTCTCCGGCCTCCGGCCACCGTCCTCCGGTGATACCACTATGATACCACTGTGATACCTAAAAATATTGACTCTGTTAAACAAAAGATACATTGTGATACCTAATCATATATAAGATGCATAGTGATACCACAGTGTTACATCTTCGATCGACCACACAAACAACATCAATGTGATACCCAAGCACATATATTATGCATTGTGATACCATTGTAGTATCACCGGAGAACGGTGGCCGGCGGACGGTGGCCGGAGGACGGTGGCCGGAGAGAGAAGAGAGGAGGGAG